ACTATTGAATTGTTAGATCACGAGGGCTCTATTCTCATCAGTGGACCAATCTATTGATAAGTTCATGACTGAACAGTCCTGCTCCACTACATGCTCCTTGACATGATGTTCTGTTTTATTATCAGAGTCAAGTACCACTGGGCCAAAACCTCTGAGTCCATAAGCCAAAACAACCATTTTCTTCTTTACGTTGATCTGTTCAGGTAACTGTTCTTTAACTGTCTGGGACTTTACTAGTGGAAAGTCTAGTACTGAACTCTGTCAGGAAATTTTTAAAAATTCATTTTTGTTTATTTGCTAAAGATCTGTTCAGACTTTCTACTTCACTTTGAGTCTTTTTTGGTCATTTGCCCATTTCATGTAGGTCATCTATTCCAGGGGCATACAGTTCTTTCACTTTCTCTCAGCCACAGTAAAACACCACTTCTGTTCCTGATTTTAAGTATCTGCACCCCCACTTCCTCCTCTCTCCCGTTTCTGTTCTGTCTAGCAAAGGTTTGTCAATGGAGTTAATCTTCTCAAACAAAGTTTTAGGTTCACTGACTCTATTATTTTTTTATTCACAGTTTTATTGTTTTTGATCTAATGCTTTGAGACAGGAACTCATGTAACCCAGGCTGTCCTTCGACTAACTATGTACCCCAAATGATCTTGACCTCCTGCTGCTCTTCCACCACCCTCGACTCTCTGCTCTCTTTCCCTGTTATCTTGAGTTTAGCTTGCTCCCCTGCCCACTTAGGTTACTGGTTTGAGACCTCTGAAGGCCGCCTTCACACTGTCTATGCGCTCTGGTAGGACGTGCTCCACGCTCCTCCCAATTTCCTTGCTTTGTCCTTGGCTTGCTGGCTGTTTCAGGGTGTGCTGTTTAACATCCCCGTATTTTCAAGCATCCCAGTTTTTCTTTTGTTGGTTTCCAGCTCCATTCCTTTGTGATTAGAGAAGATTCTTTGAAGGAATTCAATCTTTTTACATTTACTGAGATTTGCTTTGTGGCTTAAACCCATTCCTGAGTTTACCACAAATACTTAAAAAGAATTTGCGTTCTACTGTTGTTGGGTAAAAGCTATCCATACCTGTTGGGACTAGCTGGTCATAATGTTGCCCAATCCCTCAAACTCCTATTGATGCTCTGCACACTGCTGCAAGTGGCCTTGCTAGAAGCGGGGCTCCTACTGCGCACGTTCTTCTCTCTTTACATCTGTTGACGTCGCTCTTGTCCGGTTTCAGCGGTACGGGAAATGAGAGCACCGGGCAAGTATCCTGCCGCTGAGCTTCTCACCTCCAGCCCCTTTTGTGTAGTTTTCCTTTTGTGGCAGGGTTTCATTAAGTTGATCAGGCCTTAATTTTGCAACCCATCTGCCTCTGCCTCCTAAGTAGCTGAGACTACAGCTCAGTGCCACCAAATACCACTGAAAATTATTCTTACTGGAATAAAAATTCTTACAGGCCCTGCAAGAGCTAAAGTATGGTTTAAAATTTTATTTATATACCTTTTGTACAGAAAGTCCTATTTTAGGAAAATATCCTACTGAGAATAGGTACTGTGGGTAGCAGATAAAGTCCTGGGTGGATGTGTATTATTGACATGAGCATAGCATGTCAAGGACCCTAGTGCCTCAGATCCATGCAAATGACAAGCCTTTTCCAGGTCAGGGTCACAGGAAGGGCAAAGCCTCGCCCTGGCCAGAGTAAGCATGTTCACAAACGGGTGACCTTTAGCTGAAACCAGTGTTTGCAGAAACGATCAAAGAGGGCCTCCGGGGTGACTGAAACCCAAGACTGCTCCTCCACAGAGGTCTACGGAGGTCAGCTAAACCCTCCCTCTGCCTTCTCTATTGTGCTGTGTGTGATGTGCTGTGTGTGAGTCTCCCAGCTGCTGCTGCTGCTGCTGCTGCTGCGTGCCTCCATCAGAGCTCACCCCTGCCTCCATCCAGCTTTCCTGTTCCTTATTCCCCATCACCCCAGCCAGGTCAATCCCAAAGCTGTGCAGGACACAGCAAGGTAGTAAATGTAGAGAAGGCTTAATGAGAACAAACTATTTCACCTCTACTGCAGATTAAAAAAAAAAAAAAGGCTCCACCTATTGATACCATGACATCGTCTTCACACAGGATTCACACAGAACAGCATTTCTATGAAGCTAGTAAAGTATTGCAACAGTAATCCACTTCAGGCTCCCCCAGCCAGACATGCTCCAGCCTTTGCTGGCCTAATCCTACTTACACTTTGAGAAAGAGGTCCCCAAACCAAGATTTCATGGGTCAGTGACATTTTGTTAAACCTTCTAGAACTGATACAATTGCCCTTTTTTACTTTATCAAATTAAGATACAAAACCCAACAACTATTGCCATTACAGTTATTATCACTATCCTTGTATATTATATACCAAATGATGTGGAATCTCAGAATAAAGATGATATTGGCCAAAAAGGGTAAAGTTATATATCAAAATTAAGTAAAATAACCTAAGGAAATTATATTCAGTATGTTCATAATCACAGCAAACACTCACTGGGCACGTTTTGGGGATGTTTTTCTCGGGATCTAATCATTCTTTTCATTTAGGGTCTTTCACTGGGACCTGGGTTTGATGATTAGGTAGGCTGACTGGCTAGAGCAAACCCAGGGATCCACCTGTCTCTACCTCCCCACTGGGTTATAGACCCACTACAGCACTCCTGGCTTTTTATGTGGATACTTGGGATAGCATTCAGCTCCTCGTGCCTCATGGCAAGCATTTTACTAATGAACCGTCTCCCCAGCCCACTTTTTTTGAGCTTTTTATAGTGTGAGGCCCTAGTACAGTCTTTAAATGCATAATTTACTACATAGTTCTATTGTATCAAATCTGGTGTGTGATTATGAGTTTTCACTGTAGCAATGTCTAATATAGGAAAAATGAAAAGCATACTACTATATGGGACACAGCACTAAGAATTAGAAAGCCCAATTTCAATCCTACATTGTCAATATGACTACAGAACTCTTAGTCCTTCTGGGTTTCCATTCCCTCAGATGAAAGGTATGTTTTACGTATGAAGGTTTTACGACAAAGCTGATTCATCTGTATGCCAACCTAAAATATTTTAAAAAGGGAACTGGAGAGATGGCTCAGTGGTGTGAAGAGTACTGACTACTCTTCCACAGACTTGGGTTTGATTCCCAGTACCCACATGGCAGCTAACAACCATCTATAACTCCAGTTCCAGGAGATATGATCTTCTTCTAACTTCTGTGGGCACTGCACACATGTGGTACACAGACAAAACATGGACACAAGACACTTATACATGTAATGTAAAAGTAAATAAATCTCAAAGATATTTAATTAAATAAATTGCCATTGGGGAAAACTGGGCAAAACTAGAAAGGAAAGAATGCTGTGATGATCTTAACTTGGCTGGATTGTGAGGGGCCTCTAACTACTGGCAGGTGTGTCTGTGAGCACATTGGTGACACTGACAGATCGGACAGGCCCTGATCTCTCACACAGATTAACCCCTTGATGGACTTGCTGGGAAGATAGTGAGAGGAAGAAGTGGGGCCTCGTGGGAGGAAGGAGGCATATTCTTGAGGGCTCTTTACCTGTCCACTTCCTACATCGCCCTCTTCTCTTCCTGTCTGTGGACAGGTAAACATTCTCTTCCTTCATATGCTTCCACCCCAATGTCCTGCCTCATAACAGGCCCAGAATCAATCAACCAAGTCATAGAAATAGGATCTCTCCAACAGTGTGGCAAATAAGTAGTCCTTTCTCTTACATTGTTTCCTCAGGTGGTTTGGTCACAGTAATGAGAGAGCTAAGCAAAATCAATGTCTAAGACTTCTAGGTTGCACTCTCTAGTTCTTCTGAATGAAGTAAAAGAATGAAACATCAGTTTTCTCTGATGTTCAGTCATCAGAGTTATGGCCAATTCTACCACATGACTGATTCACTGAAAAGCACATGTATTAAACTAGTATTAAAAAACGACCAGGTACACTGGACAGGTTAATAATGCATTTGTCTATGTTTTGAATAAGCTAGGTTACAGGTCTGGTGAGGAAACAGATTTGTGAGTCAGTCACTGAACCATGCTGCAGTTACTGCAGGGATTCAAAAGAAGAACAAAGAGGGCACTGAGACTTCCTAAGATGCCACTCAGTTGACTCTGACATTCTCTTCAACATCTGCAATGCCGTCACTGGGCGAAGAACTGCCGAGCACTAGGAGTCATGAGTTTGCACGTGTACTTATATACCCCTGGAACAGAAGCTACAAATGAGAAAATTAAAACAGGAGAGGGGAATTGTTCCAGTCCGTGTTACACAGCTCGTAACTGGTCAGGCTAGAACTGAAAACTGGGTCATCGGGCCAGAGCTGGCCTCTCTCGGGTCATATATAAGACAGGCAGTGGCATGGCAGTTAATTTTGATGGTCAACTTCACTGGCTTGAGAATTACCACAGAAACAAACCTCAGGCATGCCTATGAGGGCGTTTCTAGATTGGTTTAACGTGAGGGGAGCTACACCCTGGAGTCCTGGACTGCACAAACAGGGGAGGGTGAGATGAGTGCCAGCATTGCTGGCTGCAATGTGACGTGACCTCAAGATCCTGCTGTCACGCCATCCTTGTCATGGTGAACAACATCCTCAAACCGTCAGCCAAAATAAATGTTTCTTTCCTTAAGATACCTCCATCCAATGTTTTGTCACAACAAGAGAAAAGTGGCAAACACGGGACTCCTGATATCTTATTACAACATGCTAATTCAGATTAGCAGGACATCTTGTTCAGGCCGGCAGTCCTTTGTGGATTTCTACTCTCCACTAAACAAACGTGAATGTGATGAGCAAATCTGTATCAGCTCCCTAACTAGAAAGAATGAGAATTAAGATGATTGGACTGGAAAGGACAGGCAGTTTTCATTTGTCACCAGAAAGCGTTAATAAGCTAGCACTTCTTTCAAGCCTGCAGAGAAGCAAACTCATCAGGAGTCACAGAGGTCAAGTGATACCTTCAGGCCCTCCAGTTCGTTCTCCAGCTGTTTAGAATAATGCTCGCTCTGCTCACGCAGCTTCCTGTCCTTCGATGCTTCAGCAATCAGAGCTTCAGTGTGAACTTCCAGCTTCAAAATAAAAAGGGCAGATTTCATTAGTTTTTCAAAGTACCTTTCCCCAAGAAAATTTATCGCGCAAAAGGTGAGATTCACACTAGTTTATAGTACCAAGCTACAAAATGACTTTGATCAAAACTTAAAGAATGGGGCGCACATCACTTCACTAGTCTCTACGTGCAGTTTAAGCACCACTCCACAGACACTACGGAATCTGCCTGGCTACTGACCTCTTTCTTGGCTCTCTCTGCTCTGCGCAGCTCTTGCCTTAAGCTCTCAGCTCTTTGCATCACCAGGTCCACCTCTTCTTCCTTATCTCGGACATGGCGAGCAAGTTTCTGTTTCTGGGTGTGCAATTCTGTTAGTCGTTCATTGATCTCCATGAACTCCTGCATGGCCAGCTTCCTCTGACAGTGGGCGTCTTTCAGCTCTTTGGATTGGTTTTTTAATCGCTCACTAGCCTGGACTAGTTCCTACAGTTTTGTAAAAAGAATATAAGTTACCAAATCTGCAACCTAGAGACCACACTTGGCCATGAAAATAGCTATTATTAAGTCATGAAGATCCAAAATGATTCACTTCAGGACAATACTAAAGGAAATGGACTACTTCTAAAGACATTATAGGAATGATGCCTTGTTTACCTTCTTAAACTTGTTTTTAAAATTTACTTTTACTTATGTGTATGTGTTTAGGCTGTATTATATATGTGCACCATGTGTACACAGAACCTGCTGAATCCAGAAGAAAGCATCAGAACCCATGAAACTGAAGTTATAGACAATTGTTGGCTCCCACGTAGGTGCTGGGAACTAAACTCCTCAAGAGCAGTGCTCTTCACCAGTGAGCCCTCTCCAGCACCAACCCTCAAATGTTTATGCTGACATGCAAGTACACAGAGAAAGCTGAATGAGTAGAATGTAGAAATATAGATATGACGTTCAAAATCATTTGTAAACTTTAATAAATATTTGGGAGATATTTTTAATTAAACTGCATAATTGCAAATAATAAACGATAAACAATTGCCCTTTTCTTACTTAGAAGAATAAGCCCTAGACCAATAACAAGGAGAAACCTCCCTAAATCTGAGATTACTGGCTTAGAGGTGCTTTGAGAACTGGAGGAAGGAATGTCAAGGAACTTGGGCTTATTCAAACATTAACAGCAAATAAACATGAGCCCATATCGACAGATTTCCAAAGACCCAAAGGACCAAACCACTACAAAGAAATCAATAGCAACAAAGGAAACAAAAAGAAACACCAGAAGTATTTGGGCAGCATGAGATACCGGCATAAGACTGGTATGTGTGAGACATTGGAAGAAATAAAAGGAGTTATCATAATAACTGGGAAATGAGAAAAGACTAACAAAAACTATCACATAGGTTTATTAAAGAGTCTGTAGGACATTTAGACATTAAAGAAATATGCATCAAAATTAAAAGCACACACATATGTAATGTAATATAGGAGTCTTTATATTTATGAAGCAAGAAAAAAAATTCAGACCTAAACCCAGAAATGTGTAAAAATGAAACTGGATAACACTACAAAAATACAAGAAACTGAGATGGCCCAGCAGCGAAGAGCACTGGGCGGTTATCCCGAGGACCTGGGTCTGACTTCCAGCACCCATGTAGGCCAGTTCACGACCATCTGGAACTCCAATTCCTGGAGAAATTATGCCCTCTTCGCGCTTCCTTGGGCACTAGGCATCCAAAGAGTGCCGGCAAGACACTCATACATGTTAGATTAAAAATAGATACAGAAATAAGGGGTGTGGGAGGCCAGGGGGCTGGTTCAGTGGGTTAAGGCGCTGTGCTGGTGGACAGAACTGACTTCTGCACATTGCTAATCTGACCTCTACACCCATGCCACAGCAGGCGCACACATGTGCACACAGACACATGTGCACACATGCCGCCGCCGCCACCAGCACCACCACCCGCACACAGATGGAATACATTAAAAAAGAGATTGGGGGTGGGAGCAAAGCATTTATATTCTACTTTCAGAAAAACAAAAATAAATCAAACTCAAAAGAAACAAGTAGTAACAGAAAAAGTGGAAAAACACTCAAAAAGACAAGAAAATGATGCTGTATATCCAGAAAAATTACTTTTGAAGTATAGCAAAAACTGATAGAGCTTACCACTACCAGATCTGCATTAAAGGAAGCTTTACACCTTTATTTCAGGAAGAAGGAAAACAGTTTTAGAAAAACAATGGAACACAAGAGAAATAGAGACTAAGAGCCTGGTACACATGTGAAAAAATGTGTATGATTATACTATGTTAAATGTCTGATTTACAGATACTAGTAAATATACACACTAAATATATGTGGAGACCACAAATAAATTGGAAGGAAGTAACAGAATTAAAGCCCTTAAGAATTTTGATGACCAGTTTAATATATTTAGATTTTGTTAATAAGCAGAGTAAAATTCAAATGCAAATACCCAAATACCAGAAGTAGTGGGAAATTAAACAAGAACGAGAAAACAAATAATAAGAAATGATTTAGCAAAACAAAAACAAATTCTGGAGACTAGTTTCATAGCAATACATATATACTATGAACTACGCCTCAAAATGATTAAGATCGAAAATACTATATACATGCATTTTAATTTTAGCACAATTACATTTTGTTAAAATAAGGACACAGAAGAAGCAAATGACAAACACAAGGGGAAATGAAACAGAAACATATTCATATACATTAGTAATCAAAATAGATACAAAGGGCCAAACTCACCAGATAAAGGTAGTTTGTTATATCAGATAATAAAATCTAGATATTAGCAGAAAAGCATTGTTAAAAATAGGGAATATTTCTAGACAATCACAGAACTCAATAGAACAGGAAGCCAAAACATCCTAACATTTAGTGAATTCTGTAAGGTAGTCTTAAAGCACATTGAAAAGAAACTGCCCAAACTAGAGAACATTAAAAAATAAATCACCACAACAAGAATTTCAATTTCCTAATCATTAATTATCAACAAGGCAGAACATTGATCTTAAAGACAACCTGAAGTAGAGCCCATGCCTATAAACCCAGCATTTGGGAGGGTTAGAGTGAGTTTGAGGTTAGCCTGGTTTATGCACTGAGTAGAAGGCTATCCTGGGCTACACAATGGGACTTTGTCTTACATTCCCTCCCCCTACAAAAGGGTTTGAAAGGTTCTAGTAAGCTTTCTATGTATAGAAGTCTGCACACTGTCTTGGGAATATATACTCTTTTCAATGATATACACTGAATATTTTAAAAAGAACACTAAAGTCTAAGCCATAAAGCAAAGCTCTGTAGATTTCAAACAGATACACAAATGATGTGCTTCAAGGCACTGCAATGAACTAATAAATCAACAAGAAAATGATAAAATTTCTTACAGGGAAAACTTTAAGATACATTTATAAGAAAATAATTTGTCAAGAAGAAAAATGATCAATACAAACTAAAAATTAAAACTAAAAATTTCTAAATTAAAGAGCAACACACTGTTTCATATATACTAAAACTTGGTGCTGCCTGAAGACTATATGGGAAACTGTTGCAGAATATTATTTTAAGATGTGTTACATTTGTTTATGCTGTGTATCATTTGTTTAATGATGCAAAGATGTGTTGCATTGCTTTATGTTGTACTTGTTTAACTCTGTGAAGCTGTGTTACTGTGCCTGTCAAAAACACCTGCTTGGTCTAATAAAGAGCTGAACGGCCAATAGCCAGGCAGGAGAAAGGATAGGCAGGGCTGGCAGGCAGAGAGAATAAATAGGAAGAGAAATCTGGGAAGAGAGGAGCAAGGAGCAAGAAATGGAGAAGGAGAGGAGGCTGTCAGGGACCAGCCACCCAGCGACACAGCCAGCCACAGAGTAAGAAGTAAAGAAAGGTATATAGAATAAAGGTAAAAAGCCTAGAGGCAAAAGATAGATGGGTTAATTTAAGGTAAGAAAAGCTGGCAAGAAACAAGCCAAACTAAGGCCAGGCATTCATTTTGGGAGCTGGGTGGTGGGCCCCCGACAGAGCCAAAGAGTAAAAACAACAACAAAAACCCACCGACAAAAAACACAGTCTGAATAGGGCAGGTTTTACGGAGGGTCCACATAGGAGAACCGTCACAATAAGAAGGAAGCACACTGTTTCACATTCTGAGACAAGCGTGATATTATATTAAAAACAGTCAAGAAAAAGTGTAGGCCAACTTTTCATAGAAAGTGATTAAAAAACCTTATTATGAGCAAATCATTTCCAGTGATGTATAAAATCCCTAGATATGAGCTTTTGAGTTAGATTCAACATATATAGAAATGCTAGCTCTACCACTTCCCATCGCCAGTGACCATGAGCAAGTTAACACCTCACTATTCAGTATCAGTATTAGTCAAAAAGGAATAATAAAATAATACATAACTCATGGATTGTTGTGAAGATGAAACATTTATATATATATGGTTATATATATATATATATACATATATATATATATGGTGTGTGTGTGTGTGTGTGTGTGTGTGTGTGTGTAAACATACATGGATGGCACTTAAAACATAATCTTCTACATAAACATGACCTATGCTATCATATTATCATTCAAACTAAAAGTGTTTCATATTAGAAAAACTGTTAATATAATTCACCATACAATGTTTTAAAGCAGAATCATATAAGTAAGTGGTGTATAGGAATGAACAGTGCATAAACTCAATACTTATTCTTAATAGCAAAAATCAAGTAGCAAAATAATAAAAATAGAAAATAATTCCCTTGACCTACTGGAAAATATTTTACGAAAAACATATATAGCAAGCATTAGCAGTAAAATGTTCAAGGCATTTTCTTTAAAATCATCAACAGGTTGATACTTGATGTTACTATTTTTTATTTGACACTATTCTGAGGTTCCAGCTAATACAGTAAGCTTACAAAAGATGGAAACCATAAAAACTCCAAGTTAGAAGCAAAATCGTTATTATTTATAGAAAATTTTGAAAAAATGTAAAACATATCCTGTTAGTAAGTGTTCAGCAGTCTTAGACAAGAATTGCTAATGCAAGCCAGGAAGAAAACATAAAATTTAAAGATATTTAAAATATGAAATAATAGAACAATTTAAAGAAAGGCAAACAATTTCATAAAAGGGCCTATTTTGTGTGTTTGTTTATTCATCCTGGTTATTGAGATGGGGACTCATGGACCCTAGGCTGACCATGACCACCAGATAACCGAGGGCAGCCTTGAACTTCAGATCTTGCTTCTCTCTCCCTTGTGCAGGAGTTACAGGCATCAACATGTCTGGTTAGGCAGTACTGGAGATTGAACACAATGCTCTGTACATGCCAGGCAAGCACTCTACCAACCGTGCCACATAATAAAATTTAAATAACTTTAAATATATGGAAAGATATCACATTCATGGATTAAAAGACTGTGGCACTGGACAGAAACAGCTTTTATGTTTTTCACAGTTAGCCCACCTAAATAAACGTCACTGAAACTTGGGGCGCTTCCTAAATGTGAGCCATAGAAAATAATTCATAACAAATTTCAATAGTGGGGAAATTTATTCACCTTCTGGGGGCATTTCAAGGTGAGGTGCACGTGCCCTGGACTATGGGGACTTCCTTTGTGAAGCTGGTTGTTTGGGGCTTAACTGTGGCCTAGAATAGTTAAGTTTATTCCAAAGGCACAGAGAAGAGGTCCAAGACAATTCTCTCCAGACTTCCTAGGAGACTCAGAAAAAAGAGGAGTGGAGAGAAGTACTGTGTTTTTCTTCTCTAGCAACACCTGGACAAACATTTTGGAGGTTACTCTTCTGTAATAGATTCCTCACTTGAAGGGTTGTAACCAGTTCTCAGATTTTGTGCAGACGATAAAAACTGATGTTAGCTACTGGATACAAATGATAATAATCTGCTATGCTTTTATTTATGTGTATATTCAAAAAAATAAACATACATGAACACTGATATAATGTAAATATGGTTAACTCTTCCATAATTCATCAGTGATGAAATACAATTTCAATTAAAATTCCATCCCAGTTTTCCAGGGCTACAGACTAACTTCAGAGGGAATCTGCTGTGTGACGGAGGTGCCATCGCAGTTGGGGAAAGAGCAACTATTCTGGCCACAAGGAACTGGGTAGCCATATTGGAAAAAGGAAAACTGAATTCCTATAACAAAGTGTCAGGCAGCTAGTTAGGTATTAGCAGGTTTGAAGTTTAACAGGAATGAACCCCTCCCTCATAACCAGTAGCAGGACTTTTGATCACTGGTCAAAAAATGGGGTCTGAGTCATATCTCTGGCCCTGGTTGGTTGGATGCACATTAAGAATTTACAAGACTACTCTCTGGCTGAAGGCGTTCTCAGAAATAACAAAGATATGTGATCGTCCTCTTCCAGAAGAGCCAACCCAAATGGACCTATCAGTCACCTGGACAATGAAAACACCCTTCAGAAAAAGTATGAAGCCTGCCGAAGTGTAGGCTGACACCATGGCCTCTCTGACTACTGTCAACTCATCCCTTGAGAACGTGTGAAGGTATTCTATTGTGTGCTGTAATAAATCCCACCCATCGTCTAGCCTATGCTGCATGTCTCTGTCTTATAAGGATTCTTTCCACAGAGATCACAAGGACCAGGGACTAAAGGAAGCACTGAGTAAGACCCCAGGGATGACACGGTAAGCAAAAATGAGTTTCTAATGTGTAGAGACAGAAATACCAAAGACCAGGCATTTAAAATTAAGGGTACAATTTAGGAAATGGCTTTTAAACCTCTGATTTCTCAGTAGTGTATGAGCCAGCAAATGCACCGACTTAAGTGTACTGACAAACATACATCACACTCAAGCTCTGGTTAGTCAGAAGGAAACAGAACAGCCGCTGACAGGTGTCTTTAACCTGCGCATTTAATAAAAGATGTTGGAAAATTTCAAGAATTCTTATAAATAACAAAAGATAACCAAACAGGAAAACATGTACATTTTTAAGGCATTTTGTAAAATAAATAACATAAAATGACGAATAGACATGTAGTTAAAGATACGTGACCATTTAAAAAATTAGACAAATGCAAATTGACTACAAGGACATCGTGTTAGACCAAAGTCTCGATACAGATGAGACTGTTAGGAGAAATCAATGCAGCATATGAGACATCACTGAACAGACACGTCTGTACTATATGGGAGAATATGAAACTGCAATACTGGAAAACATTTTGGCATTACTATAAAAACAAAATCTTTCTAAACTAATTAAAAATGAGCAGAGGCCCTAAGTGGACAGTGCTCCGTGGAAGACACACAAAAAAGCCAACAGCTATAGAAAGAGATATTCAAGATAAACTAATCACCACAGAAACGAAAAATCAAAAGCAGACTTAGACATCATTTTACAACTGTCAGGATGGTTATTACAGAAAAGACAAAAGCAAAGAAGCATTGGTTAGGATGCAAAGAAAATGACATTTTTTTCCTCCTGCCAGTGGCCATTAACCAAATCACTTATTCATCATTTCATTATATCTTACTGGTATAATGTTTCTTTTCAACACTACATCTTTCCAAAATATACTAGCAGAATTTTTAGCACCAAAATGTACTAAAAATTGCCAAAAGACTTGTTTCTAAAAATCAAGATATTGGATTTTTATGTTTATTGTGTTAACTAAATTTGACTATATAATACTACTAATACATACAAACTCATAAGCCACTAATATTACTACGTTATTATTAAAGGAAAAAGAATGCTTGTCATAAATGCCAAGTGCTATTATACTGCCTCTTGGTTGAGATGAATCTACACAAACCAAAACTCAAAACTGCAGTAAGTACAAACTAAAAGTGTGCTCGCCTAATTCATCTGCAATAACTCCCTTATCAGCATTGAGTTGTTTTATTTTAATTCCATTTTCTTACTGGTAGTAAGACTTATAATTTACCCCCAAAAGGACTTCATTCTACATTAATTAGTATTTTGTATATCAAATCATTAAATATAATTTATTCTGTGCCAGAAACTACTGTCTGCCACTGCCATTAGTCCCCCATTTGCTGCTGTTGTTAATGGCACTCACAGTACTTACCAACATGTGGTTCAAGTCTTTTCCTACTTTCTCTAGTGGGTTGTTATATAATCTTAGTTAAGAATAAATTTTGTTGCAATGCCTAGTACCATTTAAATGTTACACAAAGTTCTTAGGAAAATGTCTAGTTTTTTTCCTCCATGCTGCTTTGGAAAAGAAAATGACATCTAAAGAATGAATAAATAAATCATGGAGGAGATTTTAAATTACTGTTTATTAGTGTTTGTACCAGCAAATTATAATGAAAAAAAATGAACATATGTGTCAAAAATGCATGACCACATTATCAATTAGAAAACAAATTAAGACTACAATTAAATATCATTTACAATTTCAAATCTGTATTTAAAATTTTTATTGACATTAGATTCTACTTTTGTTCTTACGTCTTTTTCAGTAACATTCCTTTCTAAGTCAAAGCTTTTAACTTTGTAAATGAACAAAAGATTTTAACCTTTAAAGCTTTAAGAATTTGAGTTCCCTTATTACCAGCTAATGAAGAATGTCATACACCAAAGTAATTATTAAAAATATAGGGGGGTGAGAGATGGCTCGGTGGTTAAGAGCACCTACTGCTCTTGCAAAGGACCCAGTTTTGGTTCCCAGCACCTATATTAGGCAACTTATAACTGCTTGTATCTCCAGTGCCAGGGGATCCAATGCCTCTGGCCTCAACAGGCACATACACTTATGTGCACATACCCCCACACAGATACACATAGTTGAAAATAAAATCAATCTTTAAAAAAATTAAACCATTTAAAACTAATTTTTAGGTTATCATGCAAATTGTATTTCAAATTTCTATAGAAAAATATATATTGCCATTTATTAGGAATACTTCCAATACTCTAATTACAAAGGATGAAAAATAGAAAGAGCTTTAAGGATCCATCCATACATGCATACCTTATTTAGCTCCTCTCTTTCCTGCTGCAAAGTTTTGATTTGTTTTTCAAAAGCCTTGATTTGCCTAAAAGCATCATCTAGCTCCCGTCTCACTGAATTAGCTTCTTCAAGCTGTTGTTCCAAATGATTCATGTCTAAAACAAACAAACAAACAAAACTTTAATTCTAAACAAATAGAAATAGAATATTGATATGCACAACAAGTAGTAGCAGTATTTATTCAGAAAGAGAATTTAATTTTTATTTTCCCCATCTTTTGGATTAAAAGGCATATTGGTAGTTCTCTTCATTTGGGAAAATTATATAAGACAGATATAGCATATTCTGGATAAGGTGCCAAAGACTATACAATTAGAAAATAACTGCAAATAACAGGATTTTTTTCTAAAATCAAAATTATTATTAAATTATTTTAAACTAATATATAAATGAGCCTATATTTATTAAAATCAAGACATATACTCAACTTGCATAAATTATATGTAGTATTTTGAAGAGAGTCTACTCTGAGATGCCAGTAATTCAGGCTACTGGGTTTCATAGGAAATAGCTGTCATTCATCCTCCTTTATGAAGAAAAGGTCTGCTTTAAGAACATTACAAGTATGTTATTGTGAATGCTAACAACTAACTATAAACTCAAAGCAGTAAATATGTGCATCAGTCTATTCCTTTAGGACCCACCTAAAGAAAACCAGCATTTCAAATGTTGACTAAAACATAATAACCACATTCAAACTTTTTCTTCTACACACTGCATGTAGAGTTAGGAATTTTAATTTCTATTTTGAAGCCTACCACACTATCATTTAAAAATACAAGAAATAAAGCACTTGGGTAGTCTAGGACATCAGCAGAAATATATCTGCTAACTTCACAAAACCCAATGTTTACTTATAAGCAAGATAAAAACTTTACGATTTTGGAGAGATGTTACTATGAGTGATTTTTCTCTTTGTCTCATATTGTAAAAATCTCTTTTGCCTATTTAGTTGATTCATCTCCACATATGCAATTTATCCTTTAAGGAATTTATTCATCTTTATACAGAATTCACATCTGTATCAGTAAACTGCAAGACATTTTAATATTTCCAGTGTCTTATCAAAACATGAGTAATAAGCGCCTTCATTATATGAGGGAAGAAGACAATGAAGACACAGTGTCTGGGAAAAACATATAAACTCCATCAGAAGGTCACCATGGTGATCAAGATGCTTTAGAAATGGCAACCCATATCCAGTAATTTTTCTCCTCACTCCAGGATTCCCGATACAATTTACCAACACTGGTGGGCTTCTTTTATCATTGCTGGTCCATTACCTGAGCAGCCGCCAGGGCTGGTTCTAGGTCAGTAAAGATGGAGGCAGTACACAGGATTTGGATGTATTTGCCAATACCAGGGCAGTGACAGGGAATTTTAAAAGTGCATTATACATAATAAAAATTTCACTTAGGAAATAAAATAATCTTTATAGTTCATACAAAAGAGTTAAAAGAGGGCATAAATTTTCATTTTTTTTTTAACCTGTAGACATTCAAATGTATATTTACTATCTGTTATATGGTATCTGAAGCTGATATAGACACTATATATACAGTAGGAAAACAGGTGTTGGCTCAGCCCTCTGAGAATTCAGAATATACTGAAAAAAGCAGATATTAAGAAAACCCTAGAAATCATGGGTTTTAAGTTTTCTAAGATACGGCTCTAATGAAGTCAGTCAGTCATTGGTTGGCAGGTGTTGTGTATGCACAGACCCTGTTCAAGAAGGGTCTCAGGACATGATGAGGGTTTGACACTTTCTCCTTTGGAGTCAAGCAGGTCTTGAGGGGCTTGCATTTACCTCTAGCTCTAATGTAAAAGTATTTCAAGTAGCTTGTGTCTAACAAGGAAAGAGGTATAGCTTTATTTTCAATTTTACCACCATGCCTCCAGTGCCCATTACTTCCTAGAACCCAGCAAATAATTTATGTATGTCTGAATAAAGAATGCAACTCTAAGCCGGGCGGTGGTGGCGCACGCCTTTAATCCCAGCACTCGGGAGGCAGAGGCAGGCGGATCTCTGTGAGTTCGAGGCCAGCCTGGGCTACCAAGTGAGCTCCAGGAAAGGCGCAAAGCTACGCAGAGAAACCCTGTCTCAAAAAAGAAAAACAACAAAAAAACAAAACAAAAAAAAATGCAACTCTGAATAAAGACTTTCCACCTGTCATAATCTGATCTTTTTGTGTGGTGAGTAAGAGAACAGAAATGTACCTGACAGTGAAAGACTAAAGCCCTAGGAAGGCTCTAAGGATCCAGAGCTGGTCTCACTGCATCCAAGTGTAATGAGAAGGACAGAGATTGGGACTGGTCCGGGGGCTTCCTTCAACTAGTTGTGTGATATTTTCACTTGTGAGTTAATTAGAATAAAGTGAATTTACTTAAAGTTTTAAAAAATGCATGAATTTAAACAGTGGACATGAACAACTATAGAGCTGCTATGGGAAATGGAATAGGGATTCCTTTGAAAAAGAATAAAAAAAAATATGATCCACAATTTCACTACGGGATATATACTCAAAAACAGTGAAAATAGGAACCTGACCAGAAACTGTAAATTTGTGTTCATAACTGCACTATTATCCATGGCCAAAAGGCAAAGGCCACCCACATATCCAACGATAGATGAAGGCAAAAACAAAATCTATTATATGAATTAATGGAACACTGCTCAGCTTTGTAAAAGTGGAAAGCAGACATTTCTAATGTAGACATCCTACAGCATAGATGATCCTTGAGAACGTTACACTAAGTGAAATAAGGCAAACACAAACAATGATTACTGGAAGTTCTGCTATATGAAGTTTCTGAAAGAGTCAAATTTATGAAATAATAAAGTAGGGCCTTGAGGCAGTAGAAAAATTGTTATTGTTTTATTCTGTTTCTATTTAGAAATGATTTAAAAAGACAGCTGGTAATGACAGTTGTACAAGATGTGAAAATGCTCAATATTTCTCAATGAAGTATTAAAAACTGTTAAAACAATAAATTTTGGTAGATATATTTTACCACAATTTAAAAAGTTAAAAGATGAAAGGAGGGAGGGAGGGAGGGAGGGAGGGAAGGGGGAGGGAGGGAGGGAGGGAGGGAGGGGAGGGAGGGAGAAGGAGAGAGGGGGAGGGCGGGGCGAGGGAGAGAGACGAGGAGGGCACTAGAGAAATGGAATGAAAGAGCGCACAGGAGTGACGATTACAGATCCAACACAAGAAGCCCTGTGAGCAAGAACAATTCCAAAACAAGAGGACTAACCTTTCTCTCAACAGTCTTTTTACTGACTTTACTAATTTCATTCTGCCACTGGGAAATGATTTTAAAATGTGAGTCAAGAGCAGCCAGGCAAGTGTGGGATTTAGAAGACAGTGGGAGTGAAGCACAGGAAGGAAGCTGGGAGGAGCTGGGATCCCACACTTCCCAAGACAGGATGACACTCGCTGTGTGCTATGTGGAGAATGAAGTTTGTTAAACGTGCCTGTATTATTACAACGAGACAGAAATGGTAGGAAAAGGGTAGAGATGGGTTCAAAGAAGTGGCATTTCACTTATTCATCAACAAACACTGGGCTGGGTTTCTAATGAACCAAGTATAATCCTATAGGGACTTGAACATACTAGTGGATAAAATGACAGGCATAAATCAATTCCAACCTCTGTTTTCAAAGAGCGTGTGCTCTGTGGTGAGTGAGGGAAGACACGGTACAGACACAAATATGTTAATACTGAGACATGTCATAGATAAGCAGGGGGTTATGAAAAAGATGTTTCCAGCAAATCAACAAGCATACACAGACAGAAGACAGACAGATGCCGACAGACAGACAAGTGAAAGGAGACAGAATTGAAATGGAAGGTGGGAAGCTCATATGTATGAAGGGTAAGCATTACATGGAATCTAAAAATAATCTGACGTGGGTAGAATCAGGGTATAAAAAGGGAGTAGTTACTACAAATAAAGCTGAAGAGAGACAAACACATGCATGGCAATGAAGGACTTCTAATCAGCATTGAGAAATTCTTGCATTGTCCTAGAGGCAAGGAGAATCCCCTGAAAATACATGCATGCATATTGAAGCTGCAACATCAACAGATCCATCTCTTAAAAAGCTGACTCCGGTGACTTCTATTTTTTTGGGAATTATAATTGATATATTTTCCATTGAGAACAAATAAAAATCTTGGACCTTACATTTTAAAGTGAATAAATGATCAATGAATAAGTAAGTAAGAAGACTAAGAAATGTGGTGAGACCAGCTGGAACGTTGTGACCTGTAGAATAAAGGTAGTGAGCTCCCAGGTTTTCTTTTCATGTATCCCAGAAGTGGACCTTAAGAAGATGGCAATCTAGAAAGGCAACACGCATAAGGAACACAGCCGCACCAAATCCTGGTCTTCTGGGGCAAAGAACCAAGGACGGGCCATCGGGTACTCGTCTATTAGTAAAGGAGAAGACGGCGTTCTTATGCAGATGAAGAGAAAGGGGCCTATGAGGAAAACTGCAAGTTCTTCATATGTTTTAGAGGGAATAGCAGCTGAATTTAAAAGGAAGACTAAGGGCCAAACCCAGAGTCTGGAATACTAAGGAAAATTAGTTAGAATGAGTGCAGCCCGGTATGAGATAGCCAAGCAGACCTGAGAAGAGACAAACAGGTTTGAAGAAGCCATTGAACCAAGGCCAAAGATGGCAGGCCAGCTGGCTAACCTCCATGAGACCTTTTTCCTCTGGGAAAAACATGGAAGGCACTATTGTTTATTGCATATTCTTGCTTTTAATGCATTGTTTCTAATGCAAATAACTTACAAAAGACTAAGTAATAAGAAAGAATGGCTTCTAAAGTGCCGGACCTATTTCAGGAAAGAAACCACAGACCATCCCATAGATAAAGAGCTAACCAATAACAATAATTCTAGCTACTTTTTAGTGGCTCTGAAAACAAATGAAGATTAACATAATGAATAGTAAGCAAGACACCAGCAAGGTCAAAAGGTAGTAATGGTGTTCAATTAGCTTAACAGCGAGCAATCAGTCAAGGTCAGTAACTAAGGTAGACTCAGAGATGGATAAAGGCGGGCTTCAACTATTCCTAACTGTGTGTGGGCAAGCATGAACGTAACACGATCATCTCCCTGGCTGGTTCAGGGAGGACATGCACAGAGCACATGGGTCTTCTATTCACTTAACCTTTGATGGCCCCAGGCAATTAACCAATCTCCAAAGAGATTACATCTGTCTTTATCCAGTTTCTGTGACTGCCCTATAGAAACCCCACACAAAGGAAATTCAACAGCTTTTTCTATTCTTTGATATTCTTCCCAACTCTTGGAAATTCATCTCCCTTTTCCACAGTAATACTTAGTAAAGACTGTCTCCACACTGTTTATACACAAGAAGGATCTACCTTCCATTTCCATTGGGGTAAAACAACAAACTCGGAGCCACTGCCCCAGGTTGGCCTTTGACGTCTTAGGTCTTTGCATCATGTTGAGTGGGCCATGAACGGTCCTGTCATTCTCCAAAATAATTAATAACAGATAAATAAAACAAAAAAACTCTTAGGAAACTACACTTGTATTTGACTTAAATATCACAGAAACACACATAACATGGCCGTGCACATCTTTAATTCCAGCACTCAAGAGGCAGAGGCAGGCAGATCTCTGAAACCTCTGTATTCCCATGCTGACCCCTGTCAACCATGGGAGCTAAATTTGAATTTCTAAGCTGAGGCTACAAAGAGATGCCAAAGCACACCCACAAAGGTGGCATTTTAAAAACAAACCACCACCACCACCAACAACAACAAACAAGAAGAACTGGTTAAGATTAAGAAGTTTCCACAGAGTCAGTGGAGAACAAATTGGGAATTAGACTTCACCTGGCAACAAAGAGATGTCAGTATGCCCATGAGCCACAACAATGACCAGTATGCAAGATATTCCTAAGGGTGTAGGAGTGGCATGCACACCTTGGCAGCAACCAATAGCTATATAATTACACTTAAGACCTGCTCAATAGAGGGAAATTATGCCTGTATGAATAACAAATAATGTAACTAGACAGAAAACCAACGTGACTATAGAAAACCTCAAAAATATTCTCCACCAATAGTATCTAATAAATATTTATAAAACAAACTATCTAGAATAGCAAGAATGCACATTTATCACAAGTGCCCAGGGAATATAGGTTAAGATAACCATATCTTAGGCACAAAACAAACCTCAACAACTCTAAAAGAGCTGAAATTACAAGGAGTATTGTAAAACTGATTAGAGAAATACAGAAGTTAATTCTTCAAACACACAAAGTAAATGACATACTTCTCAATTTGAATCAAAGTGAAAAAATTTTAAACATTTGAGCAAGAAGGAAAATACGACATACTGAAATTCTGTAGGGCACAGTGATGTCAATACTAAAGGAGAAATTACAGCCCTTGTTCTATATGATTTGTCACTTGATGTTCATGTATGTTCTCTTGTCTGCAGCGACCGTTCCCTTCTTCAAACCTCACATCCACTTCACACTCATCTATACAATTTTCCAGGCAAATTCTAATACTAGTAGCTCTGATAGTCATCTCTGGTCTCTCTAGGGGGTGTGCCTTCTCTGTATTCCCTATGTACGTTTTTCTACTTCCCCTAAAGCCCCTTCACCTGTGTGGCAATAGTGACTTACATATTTACTTTCCAGATCAAATTATGAACTCCATGAAACCAGAACTAATTTATATTTGCCTCTTCTTCACTGTCATACAACTCATAACATCAACAGGACGCAACAGTTAGCATGAGTAAAACCATGTCTTAAAATCTACTCAAGTAATGACAAGCCTCAGAAAGTGACCTGCTACTTGTTTCCTTAGTTTCTCGATCTCTTCTTTCAGGCTTTTAATTTCCAAATCTTTGCTTGCTGTTAGTGGACCATCAACAGTTGAATACTGCAGAGCTTGAACGGTCTGTGTTGACTCTGAAAAGAAAACAGAATGCAAGAAGGAAAATCAGAGACTTATAGTTTTTAAAGCTAATGTCAACATATCTCTACACAAATTTTTTTAATAGTTCCAAAACATCTGGTCAGAACATCTACTCACTGAAAAAGCTTAAGAACACATGAAAGCATACAGTTCCACTGCATCTTTTTAAAGTTTGTAAGCAAGATCTCCAAATGCATAGACTCGAATGACTCAACTTTCTAATATATGAGACTTGGGGTTTGAAGTACTATTGACCAACTATAACAAAGAATTAACTAACTATTCAGACATTTTTTCCTAGCAGAGACCATCATCTTGAGAAAAAAAATAATCACATTTCATATAACATATGAAGAACTGAATAAGACATGAGGAAAGGTTTAGATGTACTGTTACATAGTGCGTAGGCATGGAGACCTTCTGGATTTTATATAGGAAATTAAAGGACCAGCTACAGGACCTTTGATTTGGCTTATCACTTTAGTTAAAACACTTGATAGAAACAGAGATCGCCTGGCGGTGGTGGCGCACGCCTTTAATCCCAGCACTCAGGAGGCAGAGCCAGGTGGATCTCTGTGAGTTCGAGGCCAGCTTGGGCTAACAAGTGAGTCCCAGGAAAGGCACAAAGCTACACAGAGAAACCCTGTCTCAAAAAACCAAAAAAAAAAAAAAAAGAAAAGAAAAAAAAAAGAAACAGAGATCAATTTATCTTGAAGTTGTATATAGAAGATAATATGTGAAGCAATATGAACACTATAATAAGGCTTATCTCCCAGATACTAGCAAAAGACATAGAATAATTTATAATACGAAATGAAACCACCTTTTGTCCTAAAACAGCTTTTCTGCTACTTATGAAAGGGTTCCAAAATAAGGTCCCTCTTAGTGCAGTTCTTGGTGAATTAACACAAATCACACACATAGATAAAATGCATCATGAAGCTTACATGCATGGTCACCACTATGCATTTCTTAGCCTGAATGAAAAGTATAAGATATACTACATCATACATCTGATCATTACCTCGGTATCTAAAAAGCATTTTTTATTCAGGTTCAAAACATATTAAAATCGATCCTGTTTTATTTATTTGGAAAAGAACACCCACTGTTTTAGTTTATTTAAGAGACTTAAATTCAGGACTTGGAAGACAGTTTAGTCAGCAAAGTTTGCTTTGCCCAAATACTGTACTCGCTTAGAAAATAACAACACTCTCTTAGAAAAGAATTAAAGAATTCAAACATCAAAAGCACACAAAGTCTAGGATAGGAAAAGCTCTCATTTGTAATGAAATGGAACAGGAATGGCTATTACTCTATTGTTTCTTTTGCTAGAAGTGAAAATATACTAAATAACTTTGAACTATAAAACTTATAAGCACTTAAAAAATCTTTTTTGTAAACCCATTATGGAACTGTGAAGCAAAGGCCGACTAAAATGACCCACAGAGGAGTAAGCCAGTCTGAGACAGAAGGCTGTCTCGTGGCTCTAACCTGGAGCCTTGCCCAGGCTGAAGCTTGACCGAAATTGAGGAGTATCTTTTTTGCGGAGTGTTATGCATGTTACACATGCCATTGCACTCACACAGAGGGCAGAGGACAGTCTTTGACAGTCAGGTCCTCTCCTTCTACCGTATGGGTTCCAAGGTTACACCTGAGTCGTTCAGCCTGTCAACAGGTGCCATCTTGCTAGCCTCCTAAATTGAGGACTAGTATGCTGAAAAACCCACCAACTCTTCTGGAAAATGTGGGGGTAGAGACCAGTACACTACTTAGCGAAGTAATTCTTATCCTATCAGTGTATCTGCTGTATCTGCATCGAGTGAGGGACAGAGGCGGTCTCCTCACCAAGGGATTTACTTACTCCTTCCATCTTGTGAAGTAGTAAGACATGGAGGCTGAAGAACAGAGCAAATCTCCCAGAGTCACAAGCAAGGGAGAAATAGACCCTACCAGGCTCTACCTAATCCTCCCTTCACTTCTGACGTTAGAGGTGGATTGAATTTAATAAAGATTGCTTGCTGGCCAGCCTTGTTCAGGCTCAAACAGTGATTGGATAAAGAGTGGGAAAACATTTTCTGAGGCAGAAATAGTATTAACTCAATTGTCTCTCTTATTTTCACTCATATTAGTCATACAGTTAAAGTTGTGAGGCATTTGGAACGGCAGGAGAAAACAGAGGCAGCAGCAAACTCAGGGACTCTAGAAATCAGCAGACACTCTGATGAGGAACACACACGTGCACAAGAGAGGATGCAGGGAACAAGGCATCCTTCCACAAGTACAGCAAGACCCTCTGAAGGAAAGGGGGAGCGAGGGGGCAGGGGAGGTATCACCAGCCACCAGTGAGAAGGAGGTGTAAAGGAACTCGGCAACGTTGCCTACAGGGTCCTGTGACACTAAGTAGACTAGAGAAAGATCAAAATCACCGCAAAGAAGTGCAGAAGCAAGAAGCTTAAAGTGTGTTTTCAAATCACCACCGAGGGTGATGGTAATGATGTGTTAGGACTATCAGAGCTGTCATGAAGAGTCACTCAAGTGTTATGTCCGCGTGAGAAGGGTACTTTTTCCTGACAGTTCCATGCTCCCGTACACTTACACACACATATCTACACCTATAGAAAGACACATCATTGTGTTGTTTACGACTGTATGATGTTTACATAAATGGTGTTATACTCTTTTCTGCATATATTTCTACAAGTACATTTTTTACCATTTACAAAAAGACTCCTTCTGAAGATAAAACAATCCCTTGTAATGCAGCTTAAAACACTTTAAGTTCAATTCAAATAAGGAAAATATTAAAATATTTACCTTGAAGTTTTCTAGTAAGTTCAAGCTTCTCCTGTTCCAGCCGCTTAATTCTTCTTTCATAAGCTTCAGTTGCTAAGTTATTATCGAGAGTTCTCTGGACATTTACATCAAGGTCCAATGAGGTGGGACCTGCTGTGACTCTTAAACAGCTCCGGTCAGAAAGAACACTGAATGAAAAAACAAAATGTTGGTACATATTGCAATGAAGTGTGAAGAAAAAAATTTTTTAATTCTTCATATAAGACACAGATTTGAATGTCTATAGTAAAACATCTAGAATCCCATAGAATTACATAAAAATTTTTCTGCGAAATTACCATAAGCTTACATAAATTGTACACATATTCTTAAATGAAAACTTCTATCATCAAATTACCTTTAAATTCAAAACCCTGTAAGTTATAAACAAAGTTTACTGAAGGGTTATTAGTAGTTTAAAACAATCTGACAAGTTTGCTGAAACAGTAGACAAAACCATCTACATGTGTTCATTAACAGAACCTGAAACTCAAAACTCTAAAGGGAGGTACTGTTCTAATGCACATTAAAGATATTTGAGAGGATGGCCAGCCATCAGTGAATCATCCCTAGACAAAGAAGTAGAGGCAACTAATGACAGCTGAGAGAGGGAGAATTAGTCTTCCTGAGAGATGAGCTACCTAATTATTTATCTAAAACTAGGTAGTCAGCCCTGAAATCATATACACACAAGCAACACTGAATGGACTTTGTATAAATATAAATATAAAAATTGTATTTATATATTTATAGGTGTGTGTGTGTGTGTGTGTGTGTGTGTGTGTGTGTGTGTGTGTGTGTGTGTAAAATAATAATCATCAAAGAAAAAAGCCATTAATTTGAGAGGCAGTGAGGAGGTGGACACAAGAGGAGCTGGAGAGAGCAGATATGGGAGGGACTGGAAGAAGAAAAGGGAAGAGCATAATGTAATTGTATTTTAATTAAAAAAATTTTAGATACACAAAACTCTTTGCCAATCATTTAAATTCTAGCAACAGGGATAGAAATAAAAGTACATAAAATATTCAGCACATTACAAAGTGTTAACTGCTAAAGAGAAAATATTAAACAGGAAAGAGAGAAGATAGAAATGAGATAGAGTAGTCAGAAAAGCTGTGCATATGCAGGCAGCTGAGGAAGTCAAGTGTAGGGCACCAGTCAAGCTAGAATATCAGGGTGAAGACCAGTCTGGGAACAGAAGCCTGAGCATCCCCAGGCAAGGCTCTGGGGCCCAAAGGAGGCCTGTGCAAATGGAACACAGCAAACAACAGGAAAAGCAGGAATAGAAGATGACAGAGACAGTTGTACCGGGCCTTACAGGGACCCTGCTCTGTTCTCAGGACACAAAGAAACAGAATTGGGGAGTAGAAGGAAATGGCCATGAACAAGGAGAACAGGGCAATTTTGATAGATGTATGAAATGTAAGACGTTATTAACATATTACACAGGCAGTTAAGACAGGCAGAAGACAAGGTGGTCTCATGTCATTAGGAAATGTATAGGGGGAAGCTCCATGGCTGAGCCCTAGAACACTTTGATACTCAGAAATTTGGGAAAGGACTTGTGATATTTTATTTGTGCTTTAATAAATAAAGCTTGCCTGGAGATCAGAGGAAAAGGCCAGTTGTTATAAGTAACACAAAAGTCAGACAATGTTAGCATACACCTTTAATCCTATCACTTGGCAGGCTGGGATCTGTCTGGATCTCTTTGAGTTCAAGGCCACACTGCAAACAGAGCCAGGTGTGGTGGCACACGCCTTAAATTCCAACATTAGTTAACCATGGAGGTCTGGAGGTCTGTACAGACAGACAGGAAGTGACAGAGCTGGGCAGGAAGAGGAAGTGATGTAGCTGGATAGAGAGCAAATCATATGGCAGAACAGCAAGGCATACAGGCATGGGTAGACAGGAAGTATCTCGCACTTGGAAGCTGCGGAGTTTGTGAGGTGAGGTTCGCTGTGGCTTTCCCTATTTCCCTGATCTCTCAGGTTTTCACCCCTATATCTGGCTCCGTGTTTTTTCTTTATTTATATAAGACCATTTAGAAATTCATCTACAAGGACTCAAGTTTGGAGCCTGAGAAACGGACACAAGTGAAGTGTTTCACACGGAGCAGTGGCAAGAGTGGAAAGGGCAAGTGGACTGGAAGTAATCAGTCCACCGAGGGCAAGAGCCAACGGAGCGCTGGTGAGAGCAGTCTGCATGAAGGGACTGCATGAGAGGAGCGCATTCAAGAAAGAGTAGTATAAAAACTGGACAGTCAGGTAGTTTAGTTATACACCAAAGAATTAATTGGTATCAGGCACAAGATCCAGAAAGGCTTTCTCTTTTAAGATGGAAGAAATAATTACATGTCTGGTGAGATGGTTGGCCGAGTGTAAGGATGTGGATAGCAAATAAAGGAGAAAAACTTGTGACATAGATGTGAACAATCCATTAAGCTAAGCAGGAGGCAATGGAAGGAGTCGGCCCTAGGCAGGCATCGTCACGGTCCATCCTTGAGAAGAGCTTGTGAGTCTGGGGGACAGAAGGAAACAGTGGCAGGAACTTGCAGCTGCTGTCTGGAGTTGGTGTCAATTATCAGGGATGGAGGAAGCAAGATCATCAGCTGAGAATGAAGGTGACCAAGATTTGCAAGAATGAAGTATGAAATGGTTACCTTGGTACATACAGGGCAGGACAAACCAAGGAGAGTCAGTGTGTTTATCACACAGTCTACAGTACTTAAAGCTGGAGAACCTCAATGTAAAGTTAGCCTGGTTGCTAAGAACCATCTGTCTGCTCCAGCCACGTTCCACTGCTTAGGTTTTCAATAAAGAACATTGACTCAACAAGAGAGTCCAGTAGCTGAGAGACAGCCAAAGGGACTGCTGTGGCACACAGGAAGTGGTTACTGTGATTCTTATGGGACATGGAAGAGAGGAATCGGAAGACAGGAATGGAGTGAAGAGTGAAGAGTGGATGAACAATGGCTGGGAATCTGGTGCTTGACATATACAGGACATTCCTTAAGTGCCTTGGTGCTGGTTCCTGCCCTATTCCCCATGGGTTCGACTCTTGAGCTATCTGTCCTCATAATTTCCCTCCAAATAGTTGCTTCGTGGGTAGTTTATTCTATTTATGATACCAAAATAGACTATCCTTTCTTTTTTTCACATTTGAACCCAGCTCCACGCCATAACTACAGCCATATATATGCCACTTTCAACCTTCAATCTACTTTACTTTTTCATAAATTACCCAACTTCACTTGACTTTTGAAACTTACCAGCTACTAGTATATGTAAAACCAACAAATGGTAGATGATGGCCAGAAAATGCAGTATGTGTTGGCGGAGGCATTGTTTCCTAGAAGAAAAATAAAAAGAATACCAATCTGGTTAGAAATCTATAGGTTGGACTATAAATTTACTTACGATCTTCCTATGTCTGCCTCCCAAGTACTAAAATTATAGGCATGTTTGATCACACACACAGTTTAAAAGCAAAATTTATTTGCAAATGGAAAATCAATACCCTCAGGGCTCATGTGGTCACTGAAGGTGTGTGCAGGAGAGGATGTACACTGTCCTTTGCCCATGTGGTCACTGAAGGTGTGTGCAGAGCAGAGGACGTGCACTGCCCTTTGCTCACTTGGTCACTGAAGGTGTGTGCAGGAGAGGACGTGCACTGTCCTTTGCTCACTTGGTCACTGAAGGTGTGTGCAGTAGAGGATGTGCACGGTCCTTTGTCCCTCCTGCTAAGATTGAACATGGAATGCTCCTCTTTTCTCGAACTGGAAGCAAATGTCCTTGGCACACTTTATGAATGTTTTTGTGCCTTTTATGACAGTATCTCATGTCAAATAGCTCCTAGAGTGCTATTTGATAATTACTTTTATTTTTCTTAAAATTTCAAGACAGGGTCTTGCTGTATGGCCTAAGCTAGACATGAACTCATGATCCTTTCCCACCAGACTTCCCATCAGAGTACTAAGATTATAGGTGTGTGATACCACACCTGGCTGCCATCTAATGTTGCAACACAAAAAAGGTAATCATGTGCCGTTACAGAGAAAACATGTTTTAGACAAACTCTGTTTTAGGAGTAAGTTATAGTGCTGACAGACTTGAGCTCAGTGTTAGTGAATCAATGGTATATATTATATAAAGTATCTTTAAACAGAAGTACATAAAAAAGGTTTTTATATTCAAAGTTGTTAAAAATGTGACCAGAAACAAACTTTATGTTTCTTTAATTTGGGGATCTTATACTATAATTGCAACATTTCTCCTTCCTTTTCCTCCCTCCATCTCCTCCCATATAGACCTCCCTCCTCTCCTTCAAATTCATCAACCTTTTATTTCCACAGAGCAAAGGTCAATGTCAACTAACTTGGTGCTCACCGTAACTTTATAAGATACAACTACTGTGAATAATTAAAATCAACTGTATATTCACTTAACTTGGAAAGACTCAGAATTACTGTCAACAGTGAATATAATTTAAAAAGTGGTGAGGAAAATCCATCTAATTCCTTCTTGTGAAGTTTAAACAGTTTAACAGCTCACATTCATCTCGAACACAGTACTTAAGAGTAAAAGGTGATATAAAATTAATATAAAATTTAGTACTGAACTAAAACCAAAGATATACAATTACTGAATAAATTAACAGCTTAAAATAAGACAGCTAGAAAATAAACCCCAAATTTTAGGTTCTGATTTTCTGAAATTTGACTCTGTAGAACCTAGTGATTTAGAGCAGAATCAACAGTGTGCTGGCCTTGTTACAGTCCACGAGCTGCAGAGAAGGGAACTACTTGGCTCAGGCAGAGACACTACCTCAGGAAAGGCAGGCTACAGACTGACTTCCACATTCATTTCCTACCCAGCTAGCTACTTTAGCAACACTGTGGGTGGTGGGTTTGAGCCTCCTAAATGAAGTTTGTCCATCTAGCAGGAAGGTGTCAGCTCCTCACTCCATGTTGTCAGTATAGCCAAACAGGTGATGGGTGAGAGGTAGCGGGGTGTGGTATGTATGGTTTCAACCAAAGTTCAGTAGTTTTTCATGAACAAACACTTCTTTATTGCCTTTTGGTTATAGTAATTCCTGAAATGTTTTGCCATTTGTTTCCAGTTTCATGGTTGGTTTTAGGAAGGGTTTATCATCATCTTCTCTTTGAAATCATGAAATACACTTTTTAAAGCATCTAATCTTGTCTTCTTAGGGAACCTACTGACACAATTGTCTAAAAAACAGGTCTTTGAATTTTGCTTTTGGTCATGGGTGACTATACTGAATTCAGTTAAATCTCTTAATTTTTTTGGTACACGAGAGAATAAGCACTGGAAGTCATAACTACTGTGTGACCAATAAGAGAAAAATAGTCCTGGCACCAAACTAATACACAAAAGGTTACTTTATAACCATCCTTAAAAGAACCAGAAGGGCAGGACATTTTCATAATGTCATACTTACAGAATTTTTTAAACAGTCATCATCCACATCAAAATTTGATGTATCTGTTGGGCTACTAACTTCTGGAATATAAGGTGCTTCACAGTTTCGAATATTATCCCAATCAATTCCACTGAAAAACGGATGTTTCTTAAAGTCTTCTATTCCATTTTGGCCAAGTCGATGTTCTCTGCTACAAATGAGTCTTCGAATAAGATCCTTAGCATTTTCAGACACATCAGTCACTTGGGGTGGAAACTGAAACCTCTCCTATACAGACAAAAATAAAGTATAAATACAAATCAGCAGTTTTCTTACAAAATGGTGGTAAACTTGTTTAAATATATTTCCTTTTGAAAAACATGCAGTGTTGGATGACACAGAGCACTGATACTGTGTAGAGAGATACAGGGATGCTGAGAAATAAATCCTTTTCCTAAGAGAAGTTTTAGTTCTCTAAGTGACTTCATGATGGAAGAACTACAAAGAGAGGTCAGATGCTACAGGATCTCAAGCTGATGAGGTGGATCTGATTAAAAGTAGCAGAATTTAACTCAATAGTTCAAAATAATGTAGATTACTGATAATGTCCAGGTACAATATAAAATATTAGTTCATCATTGAACACTTAAACTTTAACATGTATCTGGCACTAGTCAAAGTGATTTACCTAACTATTTAATCCTCACAATAATCACATTGGGTAGGAACTACTCTGATGATAGTCTTGTAGAAGAGGTACACAATCATTTTCTCAATGCCATACAACTAATAATTGACAGGAAAGGGTCTTCCACTGAACTCTCCAGACCTGTGCTGTTAAGCAGCATGCTACACTGAAGTGACTTCCTTCTGAATGGTATACGTGCTACTTACAACCTTTAACTTCTCCCTATCTTTCAGCTCTTCATAACTACTTACTGCTCTAACTTTGCAGCTTGGTAGAAGACACAAAATCTATAAAATTGATTTATATACATAAACACCAGAACCAATGAAAAAGTACAGATTACCCTATTCTTCTGGGGACACTCAGTTTCATACTGAGGACTTATGCAACTGTTCACAATCATCTGGAAGGGGACAGTTTACTCTCTTCTGATCTGTCTGTTTTGATCTTGTTCCTCCAGTGTATCTGGACTGCAGTCAGTGTTTTGTGACCATTAACACTAGAACATGCTAAATACACATCTTTGTTCTATATATTTCCACCAGGTAGACTTCTAGACCCAACCTTGCTCCATCAAAAGATCTAACCACAACTTTAAGGCTCAAGATGTATACCTGTTAACTTTGGGACAGTAAGTTACAATTTGCAACCCTGTCAACAGAATCTGAGGAGTATCCATGATGCTGTATTAGAACACAGAATATAATTTTTCAATTTGTCTTTGCCAGATTGACAGAAGAATTTCAGTAAAACAAAACTGTGATTGTTGTGTGTGTGTCCATGGTTGGGTATGTGTGTACACATGAGTGCCAAGCTGTCCATGTGAAGGTCGGAAGACAACTCTGTGGAGTCACGTCTCTCCTTCCAACTTTCCATGCATTTCAGGGATTAAACTCAGGCCACCAGGCATGCACAGCAAGCACCCTATCCACGGAGTCATCTTGTTGGCTCCAAAGAATCTCAATTTTATCTTTATTCACACTTTGTTTCTTACTAATAATGCTGATAATTTTTATATGCATGCTTGTCATGTTGTACATAATATAGAGTAAAAATTAATAAAAACTACTTTTGAACTCTGTTAACTATAGAGACCAATTTTTCTATTTAGGAGCACTTTTAAATAAAATATGGGGAAAAGTTAAAACTGTTTCACAGATTGTGATTTTCCCCTACTAAGCAAAAGAATATGACTTTCCATTGTTTTCACATCTTTAATATCACATTACTTTAACTTACTATATGTATTTACTGTAAACATAAAAAAATCATACTAACTTTGTGGTTCATGATTTTTCCATATGTCTCCACCAGAGATTCAGCATAGAATGGTGTTTCTCCATAAAGCATCTCATACATACAGACCCCCAAAGACCACCAATCACACTCAGGTCCGTATCTGCCTTTTCCATCTTCCATAGCTTGAAGGATTTCAGGAGAAATATAATCTGGAGTTCCAACTGCCACTGAGGACTGGACCTGAAGAAGTTCATATCTTTATTAACATACTATATTAGAAAAATGATTTTAAATTAAAAACAGTTAGTTGAGTAGATAGTATTATAATATTTTTGTTATCTAAATTTAGTCTCCTAGTTTACAGAATGATTTTATATGGCCTCTATATTAATACTTTTCATTACTAATAACCTTAATGAACTTTTACTATAGCTGAATGCATTTAAGGGAACAATATTATCTGAATCATTATTGTCATTAACAATAAAACGAATATTTTACAACATTATTATTGTTTAATTTTGTTCTGGTTGGTTGTCAGAGACAAGGTCTTGCTATATATCTGAGGCTAGCCTCAAACTCACAATCTTCCTGCCTCAACTTCCCAAGTGCTAGGATTATAGTATACTACTAAATTCGCTTTCTTACTGTTTTTTAATATTTATCTGTGCAATCAATATATATACAGATATATGTATAATGGAACTGAAAATTCACAATTAGACATGAAGAGTACAACCCATTCTGATTAACACTGATAATAATTTTAAATTCCTAAACAGAAGCCTAAGAAAACTAACCGTTGATTAGTTATTGTACATTAAGTTCTTGGTTGCACTGGACATGGTGGCACACATCTTAAATACTAGCCCTGAGAGGGATCTCTAGGAGTTTGTGGCCAGTCTGATATACACAGCAAGTTCCAGGCTAGTCAAGGACATTATATGGTGAGACCCTGCCTCAAAAAAAAAAAAAAAAAACTTATTTGGAAATATTATAAAAGGGAAGGAAAATATAGACTTTAAAATCAAAATTCTTAATTTTAAAAAGTTGAAAATATAATTATAGCAAGTTAGACAGGTGAAAATTAAATGATCATTTTCCTTATAGTGTCTGGAAGAACTGGCTGTACCATTTTACACTCCTACCAACAGTACCCAGGGCTCTCAGTCACCCACACTTAGACAACACTTGCTATTCTCCGGTTGGCAGCCGCTTCCCACCAGGCAGGAGATGCTACTATGGTGGGATCCCAGGCTTTCTGACTTCGTTCTCTAATGACAGATTAGGACCAGAGAAGTACAGTGCTCGCCTAGCTATGCAAGAGGCTCTGGGTGGAGGATCAATACCCATTACTCTGTCCTACCAAAGGCATATTAACTCAATAAAACACAGGAAAAACATAAAACCAAACAGACATGCAAACATTAAAAACTAGAATGAAAATTAATCCGTATAAAACTATCTGCAAAGCCAAAGAGAAGAAAGCAAGTTCTGAACTGCCTAAGAAACAGGTAATGGCTGTGCTATACAATTGTTCAAGATTTAAAATGAGTAAAGGTGGGGCAGGGGTGTGCTGTTTGTTACATAAGACCCCCATTTGGCAGGATCACTTTCAAGCTCCAGTTTTATCAGGGCTTGGCTCTAAATTCAAACATTAAAGTAGATACAAAATGTTACAAAGTTAATGGCCAAAACTCCTGGTGCTGGTTCTCCTCCAGCACTGCTTAAGTCTGGTCTGCTATTCTGTGTCCCATGGCTATCACTCATCTATGACTCTGCAATTCAGGGTGCAGGTGGTCCAGCCTTTATGATGAATTTGGGGAACTTTAGGCCTGCCTTTACACAGGGCCAATATCAAGTCTTCCAGATCCCAGCAGCTAAAGCTACCTCAACTTCAGATCCCAAGGTCTGAAGAAATGTTATGCTAAGCTCTAACACTGACCATGTCAGGAAAGTCAGGAATGATCCCAATGCTGAGCAATCAGGAGTCTGGCACACTTCAAGAGTTCATTTCTGTTAGGAATAATTATAACAAGCCAATGCTGGCCACTGTCTGATAAAAGCTGTTTTTATGCTTGGTATTATTATATTTATTATATTATATATTATAATATATTATATATTTATTAGTATTATTATAGTAGGGAGGATAATTCAGTACCAATTATTCTGTTCAATGGGGCCAAATTCTTAAGTCACGTAATGCATTTTCAAAATCACCTAAGGATAACTTTTCAGACTCAAATAACTAGTCAAGAATAATGGTGACATATTCATGACTTTGGAATTTATTATACTTAAATGTTTTCCAAAAATTCTGCCATTAAAGTGATATACATTCGGGCCTCTGTAAAGACAAGAAAAATAAAGAAATTTTTTAAGTAATGTGGTTGGGGAGATAATTCAGCAGGTAAAGCACTTGCCAGACAAGTGTGAGGACTGAGTTTGAATCTCCAGAACCCATGTGTGGTGGTTTAGAAAAACAAAAAATGGTCCCCAAAAGGAGTAGCACTATTAGGAGGTGTGGTCTTGTTGGAGTAGGTGTGGTCTTGCTAGAGGAAGTGTGTCACTGTGGAGGTGGGCTTTGAGGTCTCATATATGCTCCAACCACACCCAGTGAAACAGACCACTTCCTTTTGGATGCAAGTCAAGATGTAGGGCACTTGGCTCCTTCTCCAGCACCATGTCTGCCTGCACGCCACCATGTTGCACAATGATGATAATGGACTGAACCTCTGAAAACGTAAGCTAGCCACCCCAATTAAATGTTTTTCCTTTGTAAGAGATTCTGTGGTCATAGTGTCTCTTCACAGCAACAGAAACCCTCACTAAGACACCATGAAAAGCCATACATGGTACAGCATGTCTATAATTCGAGTCTTCTACTGCAATATGGGAGGCAGAGGCAAGAAAATTCCCAGAAACTATAGACCAGGCAGCTTGTACACAGTGGTGGACAAGAGACTCTGTCTTAAACAAGATGGAAAGTGAGGACCTAGTTGTTCTTTGACCTCCACATACACTCACATTTACACACCCAAATGCAAGCACACACACATATATATATGTGTACCTACACACCATACATACACATATAAAAGGCAATAAAAATCTGAAAATATAACCTTTTAACTGAACAAGAACTTAAGGATATAGTCAGCAAAAGTCAAGCAAATGGGAACATAAAACTAATGCTACCTAATCTTCACCCAAAAAGAAAATTCATTTGCTGAACACTGTCCCTCGGAACAAGTACATCATTAGAAAAAAGTACAAATGAAGATGAAGTTGTGTTTTCATTTTCTATATGAAACTTACATTCTTTATCACTCTAAAAACTTAGGGATGTTTCACGTATAATAGGTATTAGCTAATAAAGAAGCCACAAGGTTCTCAAAGCATCCTTCTCAAGCTCACCATTACGAGCAGGTCAGGTGACTCTGAGAAGCCTTACTATGAGCACGGATGCCCAGGATTTTGTGAGAGGAGGTGGGGCACAGACAAAGGGCTGGCTGGCAGCAGACAGTGTAGGCAGAGGGTCTCTCTAAACGGAGGAGGAAGACATAGCAAGGGAGACGTTATGGGAGAATAATTCATGTTCATTTACCGTTCCATCTTCCATCAGCTTCAGACAAGAACCAAAGTCTGCTAAACGAATGTGTCCATTCATATCCATCAATATATTGTCAGGTTTAATGTCTCTGAAAAAATAAATACATTTAAGGTTTTAGTTGGAAAATAATCAGATGGTCTTTTTACATGAAAAGATTTCAACTGCTTTTAAAAAATACTCTAAGAAAAATATCTGTTTTATAGGTTGCATCCTAGCTGTGATTCATATTAAAACTTTGTAAAGCATTTATCATTTCAGTAATTCCTGGAAATAAAGAGTACTCTGGTAATTTTCATTCTGGAAAGGATACTTTCGAGGATGAAGACATTCTTTATTCAGAGAGTGGTCACAGGCATGTCACTGAACACTCCAATGTCTGCGCTTTTGTCATGTGTGTCTCACTTTTTTTTTTTTTTTTTTTTTTTTTTTTTTTTTTTTTTTTTTTTTTTTTCAGGGTTTCTCTGTGTAGCTTTGCGCCTTTCCTGGGACTCACTTGGTAGTCCAGGCTGGCCTCGAACTCACAGAGATCCGCCTGCCTCTGCCACCCGAGTGCTGGGATTAATGGCGTGCGCCACCACCGCCCGGCAGTGTGTCTCACTTTTAAAATGGAGGGAAAATAAGAGCCTCCTACAGATATGATAGTGGAACCTTGTGGGGGGATTTACATTATAGATTTCATTTCATTAAATAGTTTTAGCTTGCCGGGCGGTGGTGGCACACGCCTTTAATCCCAGCACTCGGGAGGCAGAGGCAGGCGGATCTTTGTGAGTTCGAGGCCAGCCTGGTCTACAGAGCGAGATCCAGGAAAGGCGCAAAGCTACACAGAGAAACCCTGTCTTGAAAAACCAAAAAAAAAAAAAAAAAAAAAAAAAGTTTTAGCTTACCCACATAACTTGTTTCTTCTAAATGTATATTACAGTATATACAATAGTGGTTTTGATTTTTCTAATAAAATACATATTTTATCCACTTCTCAAATTAGAATGTAGCTGATGACTTTTGAAATCTATATGCTGTAATAGTAGCTCCATTTCTAATATTGCTTTCTTGTATCTTTGTTATTTTTGCCATTGTTGTTTGGGTGGTTTACACTTTGAGGCAAGACTTCATTCTGAAGCCTAGGCTAACCTCAGCTCACTATGTCACCCAGACTAGTATTGAACTCCTGGCCATTCACTTGCTGCAGTCTCCAGAGTGCTGAAATTCTCTTGCATTTTTTATATGATTAATACTAAAAACTTGCTTAGAGCTTTGCGTCCCATGTAGTACCCTAAGTGCTTGCTAGTTCTCCACAGCTGCCCAGGTGGGTACAAATCATTTACCCTATCTACAGAAAAAGCTCAGCCACCTTGAGCTTACACCCAAGGCCACTGCGGGGTTTACAGCCAGGCAGTCTGCCTCCAGATTCCACATTCTATATTATTATCATACAAATAGATATCTGTCTCTTGGGACTAAACTAGTGACTTTTAGTGAGGTGTTTATAGCTTTATTGATTTTTTAAAATAATGATATCTGCCTATTGCTCTTCCCTTATTTCTGTAATTTTTCACTGATTTGAATTAACTTCATTTTACCTTTTTCTTCTCTGTAATTCAAGCTAATTTTGCTTTCTTTCCAAGGTTCCTGAGTTAAGAGATTTAATTCACTTTTCACCTCATTCCTTTTTCTGTGGTGATATATTGTGTGCCATAATAATCTTTGGCTGAAGATCAGAGAACAGAACAAGCAAGCCACTAGATTAAACACAGAGGTCTGGCAGTGGTGGCACACACCTTTAATTCTAGCACTTGGGAGGCAGCGATACATCTGGATCTCTGTGAGTTCAAAGCTACCCTGGACTACATACGATTAACTCAGTTTAGTAGAAAAACAGAGTTAGGCAGTGGTGGCACACACCTTTAATTCCAGCACTTGGAAATCACATGCCTTTAATCCCAGCACTTGAGATCTCATGCCTTTTCTTGGGAAGCACACACACCTTTAATCCCAGGAAGTGATGGCGGGGCAGAGAAAGATACGTAAAGCTTGAGGAGACAGAAACTAGAGGCTTTTCAGGCTGAGGAGTCCTAGAGGTAAGAGGCGGCTTGTTCCTTTGTCTCTCTGATCTTTCAGCATTTACTCCAATATCTGGCACTGGGTTTTTTTTATTAAAAGACCATTTAGGAGCTCGAGTTACACTTTTCCAATATTTTCATTTAAGGTTAGAGATTTTCTTTTACTGCAGCAGTTTCTGGACCTGTGTCCCATAAGTTCTGATATAGAGCACTTTTGTTTTCTCTTCATTATAAATATTTTATAATTCCCATTGTGATTTCTCTAAGCCACAACTTACAGAGACGATGTTTTAGAACTAACTGCCTGTGATCTCACCACTCTGGAGAATCAGAAGTTTAAGGCCAACCTGGGCTACAAGAGAAAAAGAATAATCACAGACAAGGCTTCTCTAGGATCTCAGAAAGGAAACTTCTTGATTCATAAATCTCTACGCACCTTTAGGGTCTCCACCACAACTACAACTTTAAACCCAGTGTCACCGGTTGGTTAACAGTCATCTCCCTTCTACACAGAAAGAGCTATGAAGACCCACAGCATATCCACCTTCCTCCCCACGGAGTCTGCGGTACCCAGTACTGAGTGCTGTTTAGAACAGATGCTATGCTAGTAATTTCATAAATTCAAGAATGTCCTGCCATTAGATATCTCAGAAGTTGAGAAGCTACTTATGATGATAATAAACAGCACTTGCCTTTCAGTGGCTAAAATCGAAGCCTGGAACTGGATGGAACAGAATCATCTTTTTTGAATGAAGCAATTTTAATACTACTTGGTGATTTTCTATAACTCTATCACTGCATCTGCCAGAATTTCCTTCTACCCCTATGCTGGAGAAGTCTATGGCTTCCAGTTTTCCTACTAAAGACAAGACTGCGACAATACTCCTATACAACAATCTTCATAAGAAGAGAGTGTAGTCAGTGTTCTCATAATGTAAACCAGTCACATTCCAGATTACTTCCTTATGATAAAATCATAGGTGATGTGGATAAGAATAGATGGGTAAACATACATCAAGCTTTTGAGGAAAACAAACAAACAAATGAACATATCATTTCCAGGAGAAAAAAATTACGGTGTCACAACTTGGCCAACAGTGAAAGAGTCCGTGGTTTCTCATTCTGTGACAATGATAGAAGTATCAATCATTTTGCCTTTGTCAATCTCATAATTAAAATACAGTACTTATTTCTTTGATTACTTGTGACGTTAAATATTTCTTCATACTTGTACATTACTATATTACTTCTTTTATTAATTTATTTGTAGCCATTAATTGATCTATCGCTTATATATTAAAGTTTTCAACTGCCCTGTTTTAAAAATACTGACATATTCCTTTCGATTACAACCTAACAAATTACTTCCCTATTTCTCAGTAAATACGTTGTTTCTATTTTCCTCCATTCTTTGTCTGCCTCCTTTACTTCTTTATCCCCAGAAAGAGTTCCAGAATAAAGAGCAGATCAGCCTAACCATCTTGACATAAAGCTCTAAAATAAGTGGCTTCCCATAATAAAACCGTAACTTCCTTCAGGAGAAGAGGGATGTGACATCAAGGGAGACGAGGTGCAGGTCTGCAGCCTGGGATGTCAGGTCTACTTCATGAGTTTTGTGTGTTAATTTTTCTTTCAAAAAAATAAGCCACAAGTTCTAGTTTTCTTACATAGTGGACTTCTAACCTCAGAGTACGAGGCCATTTGACAAGATGATGGGAACTCATCAGAAGGGAAAAGAAGAAACTGCTGCTGATGTCATTCCATCAAAGTTCCACAAACCTCCTCAGCTCTAAGAGAGCATCACGGAAGCACAGCTCATTCACACGAAGGGACCGAGTCGCACACGTGGTTGTTCCTGGTTCTAACTCACCCCAAAAGGGTTCACAAATATGTCTAAGTGAATTTTTACAATTCACATTCAGAGGATGAGTTTGTGGCTCAGTAGTATAGCTTTTGTCTTCCAGACATGAAACACCATTTGATTTACGTGAATACCTAAAATGGGATTGTCTAGTATTTGCTACATACGGAAGGAAGGAATAGAATAAATGTGTTAGTAAAGAAATGTACAAACTAGAGGTAGTTACACAAGCAGGGCACTTTTAGCTCACAGGGCCCAAGATCCCACCCCCAGCGCTCAAAATAACTACACACAAAAATGAGTAATTTAATTCAGTGCTTTGGTCTCAAACTATGCATCAGTGGCAGAGATCCCTGGGTCTATCCCTGGAACAGGGGGGAAAAAAATCAGGCACTGGAAACTGGACTCTAGTTCAAAACTTCTCTACTAATCAATAAAATACAAAAAAGACAAAATGATCACAAAGAGTCACTTCATATTTTAATCTCAAATTAGTAAATAATTTTCTTGTATTATATTTAGAAGCATATTTATGTATATTTAGGAGCAGACTCTGACTAAAATGCGAGGGGAAGAATGAAAGATGAGATTAAAACCACCACAGGTGATTAAATAAAACATTCCACAAAATCAATCAAACAATTCCAACATGAATAATAGAGGTAATACTACATATTATATACACATAGAAAACAGAAATCTCTTCATCTCTCATCTTTGCATCCCTTTGTCTCTATAATAAAAATCTTCATGGGTAGACAAGACACATGCTTTCCTACGTGCCCCCCATACACAAAAAAAATAGAAAAAATAATGCTATAACAGTTAACAGGCAACTCACAAGTGAATGTGAGAAAAGACAGAACAAGGTGAGAGAGACCTTGGAACACTCAGCCCTAAATGGGCAATAATAACACTAGCAAAATTACAGTTATGAAGTAGCAACAAAATAATTTTCTTGTTGTGGGTCACCACGACATGAGGAACTGCATTAAAGGGTCACAGTGTTAGGAAGGTTGAGAACCACTGCTCTAAATCAACATGATCAAAGCTAATATGAAATTACAGGACCTGAGGCAGCATGCACAGGACCTGCACGGGTCCTCTGCATATGAACTACAACTTCCAGTTCAGTGTCTTCATTGGATTCCTGAGTGTGTGAACAGTGGG